GCGCTGGCCCGGGGCGGCCGCGGGCCGGTGCTGCCACCTGCGGACGGACCCGGGATGGCTTCCTGTCCAGGCGGAGAAGTTGGGACGCAAAGGGAAAGGCCTCAGCTAGTGCTTCCCCGCCAGGGGAAGAAGCGTGAAAGTTGACATAAGTGGAGCTATTTAAAGTTGGAAAGCGGGCAGCCACTTCAGAGGCATTACAAGAACAGGGCCAAGCAGCCAGAAGGAGAATATCCCGTCTGACAGGTGTACTAAAAATGAACTTTTACCTACAGTTACCCTGTGACCCCTTGTCCTGACCGGTCGACGAAATAACAGTCTAGCCTTGTTCGTGGGCACCAGTCACCTCATCCTCTCTTTCCATAAAAATCCCTGCCCTTCCTCCTCCTCGGGACACTGTTTGGATTTCTGCGGAAATCTGTGCTCCTCAAATTATATTCTTTGACCCCACATAAGCCCTTGATTACCTCTCCTTTTGGTTTGTTAGTCTAGGCTGGGCACGATGACTCTCCAGGAAACACCCTGTGAGTCAGTAGATCTGGGAGTGAAGTTTAGGAGATTAACCAGCTGCCTCAATCGGGTCCGGAATCGGTACCGCTTTCCTGAGGGCTCTGTGGTTTCTTAACCCTCCCAGCCACTCTGTGAGAAGGAGCTGCTGTTTTGCAGGGACGAGCTGTTTTACAGGGACGAGCTGTTTTACATACGTGAAGCATTCCCCAGTGTCCCACAACTACTCACAGGCACAAAGGGATTCTGAGCCACTCAGGTCTGCTATAGTCATGTTGTCCATCAGCTATCTGATCACAGATAAGGTTGCCAGACATGGCAAAGTAGAATATATTCTGGGTTATCCCTGGTGGCGCCACAGGTTAAAGCACTGTATTATGAAGCTGGCAGAAGCCACTGCACCATGAGTTCTATACCCAGCCAGGGAGCTGACCCAAACAGCGGAGCAGCAGACCTCTCCTGACCTCCCGCCCACCCCAGCAGTGTACTTCGTCGATCTGCCTGTTCTGCTCCCCACTCTGTCTCTAGTGAATCCTCTCACCCTCCCTGCACCTCTGGCCTGTACCCCAGTTCTGTATGCGTAAATAAATCTTAATATATATATATTCTCCCAGGTAAGTGTGAATTTCAGAGAAACACCATTTTCTTGTAGCAAAAGCATGTCCCAGATGTTGCATGGGGACATACTTACACTAGAAATAGTAGTCCTTGCTTATCTGAAACTCGCACTTAAGTTGGAGGAGTGAGTCAATATTGGTAGATAGTGTGGGTGTTAGGGGTCACTGTGGCCACTCGAGTAGGGTGATGCATGAGATTCTAATTCGATTGAAGGACTCAGACTTCTTTCCTTCCCCATACTACATGGAAGAATTTGTGTTTCAGTGGAAAACTATGCTTAGAATACTTCATCTTAATAAATTTGCCCCCAGCACTCCACTCCAGGGGATGTTTGGCAATATCTGGAGACATTTTTTGTTGTCATGACTGGGGAATGGAGTGCTGCTGGCCTCCACGCGAGCACAGGTCAGTAGTGCTGCTGAACCTCTCAGTACCGGGACGGTCCCCACAACACAGGACGATCTGGTCCAAGATGTGGGTGGCTCCGAGGTTAAGGAAGCCCTTGTTAGTGTTTTGACACAACTTCTGTGACTGGCTGCAAGAAAGGAAGGTGGGAGGGAGAAAGGCTGAGCAAGCAGCTGAGAGGGAGCCCCTAGGGTGGGGTCCACAGCTACTGCCAACCCTATGGGGGGGAGGGTCTCTTATATAGATTCTAAGTTCACATTCCAAAGGGGTGACTCATCGCTGTGTCCTTTGATGTAAGGCCCAGTTCGTTATCAAACCTGGATGTGGGGCCCAGTTTGTTATCACCTTCAGCTAGTCCCATCCCGGATGCAAGGTCCCCGCTAATTGGATGCGAGGCCCAGTTTGTTCCCGCCTTATCACCTTTGGATGCAAGGCCTGACTTATTACTGCCCTTATGCAGTCCCTCAGTAAATCTCCGCAGTTGGTCACTCCCAACAGTTAAGAGCTCCTTCTCCCATGTTGACTAATTCTAGCCTTTGTTTTTCAATTCTTTCACAATTTTAATTTGTAGCTGACTATAACAGTACAAAACAATTTTCCTATAGCTATGCGAATGAATTCTGTTCAGCAAAGGGACTGTTCTCCTCATCGCAGAGGCTGGCTTGTGTCACCTTCATTTTGATATTCTTTACTTCATAAACCCTGGCCTTCTTTGACTTCTCCCTGAAACAGTTAGAGCATGTGCTTAGTGGCCTCAGCTAATTAATGAGATAAATGAAAATTTTAAAATGTGTTTATTTTCATGTGTGAATGTCATAAGTATTGAAGGCAAGTGGCATTTATTGATCTTGAAGGTTAACTTGAGATTTGAATATTCAGGATTTTTTGTTCAAACCATCACCTGTCATAAAACATTTAAAAGTCTTTGGAATTAAAAAAAAAAAAGTCCTTGGGTGTCCTAGAAATGCCAGGCGAAGCTCACGCACGTGGCCAGGGTATCAGAGATCTGTGTGGTTTGTGCCTTCCAGCAATGGCTTTGCGCTGTTTGAGCCATTTTTGCCTATGTGCTACTTAACAACGATATAAGCTGTAGAAAATTGACAGCAATGCAAATATTTCTTGTCCAAATAGATGCAAGTGGATTGTCTCTGGTCTCTGTGCACTCTTACTGCCTGTTGCTCCTCAGCTCCTAAGTTTCCTGGCTGCTGGGAGGGGGGAGGCTTGTGAGTTGCAGTTGGCCTGCTAAGGTCAGGTTTCTTCACCGCACAGTCGGCCCAGAGACTCTTGCTGGTGGCTTCCATAGCCAGTTGCTTCCTGGTGCTTTTCCTGGTGGATTTGCTGGCGTCTGCTTTGTATGAGCATGAGAGAGGCCACCTTACTGTCTCCCCTTCTCCTTTCACTGGGCACAGTGAACTAGAGTCTGCATGTTGAACACACTCCCCAATCAAGTTGGGGGACACCTCACCCCTTAATGACAACTAGGGTGCTGTCAGTATTCCACGTGGCCCAGCTTGAATGATCATACAAATATATTTCATGCTAAATTAAAATCTGTACCCCGTTAAGTTCATTATTAGTCCCACTTTTCCTTCTGGTACAACCTAGACTTGAAGACACTCCCCATTCTCCACACAGTCTGTAAACATTTAAGTTAGCACCAAGTGCCCAAAATCCTGAGAAGAGTATCTCCATTTTCTTTAAATACTTCTCACCCATATGTTATTTATTTCACCATCACCCATTAAGAGCTCTATAATGTACAGCTGACATAATAAAGGGTAAGGCTGTCCATTGTTAAAAGTTACTTTTTAAAAGGGTAAAATAATCTCTTACGTAAGTATCAACATATGTCTCATATTTTTATTTAGCTCATTTATGAATCAACAGATATTGTTCAAAGGGCACCCAAAAAAGCAACCGATTAGAATTAGGGGTTGAAATTTTTTTAACAATATAGTTTTTTTTTTAAAAAAAGATTTTATTTATCTGTGCATACAGAAATGGGGTACAGGCCAGAGGCTCAGGGGCAGCGAGAGGCTTCACCAGAGACAGAGTGGGGAGCACAACAGGCAGATTGA